TCATGATAAACGTTTGTTATGAGAGGCATGTGCACAAAAGCCAAGAAAAACCTCACAACAAGATATTTTCTTAAAGTTCATACTCAAAAGTGAGAGTATGCTTCGACCGTCATAGCCAAGTGGGCAATGTTGACACGTATGTCTATGAGGCCTTACGTGTCTTAGCCTACAATGTGGGAATCCAATATATCCAACGGTCATATGGTCCAACATCCATATGAGCATTGGATATTCCGGAGATTAAGGACCCTTCATTTTCTCAGACACCCGTTGGAGATCAGGGAACCTTTCGCTTTCTCAGAGACCTGTTGGAGAAATACAATGGTTACCCATTCTTCCCCCTATAAAATGGGAAACCAGAGAGAGGATGTGAACAACAAGGAACAACAAGGAAAATGTGTATAGTTCTTCTCTCTCTAAAAATGAAAAGATAGAAAATTCGGGCTCGACGATCACCAGTCTCATGGCACCGCCTCTTTGATCTCATCCATGCGCCATCTATTTTCACTAATAGATCTAATGATTTGCACAGAAGTAAAATAAATGATCCAAAAGCAAAGTTGAAAATAATCATTTTCTAATATCCAAATCTTTTTTTTTTTTTGGTTTGTTTCAAAAAATATCATTATCCTACCTATTGAATAGAGGGTTCCAAACATAATTTCTAGGACTTCTCTTATAGGGCATACTTCTAGCTCTCGAATCAGCCTCCATGCTCCAAATCAAGAATCTCAATTGGGCTCTTTTTTTTGATGGAGCTCGATCATTTTTATCGGTTTCTCAATCCCTTATTCGTAAGGATCTAGATCCCCGTAATGAGAGAGCTCAAACCCCTTATTTGTGAATCTTGATCACTGTCTCGTCAAGAAATCTTTGTGGATAGATCTATGTCATTTAGTGATCCCAAACATCAAGAAGTAAAATAATTAGAGTTATATATATAGATTATGGATTATACTAGAGTTGTAAAATGTCTAATCCATATCAAAAATTAAAATAATAAAAGCATTTAATACAATGGGAAGACGAAATCTGATACATTGCACAATGGGATCTAGTTTTCGTGAGCATTGAGACTATTATCCTTCATATTTATAAATCGAGGGTCCCAATTTATATGAATTGTCGTCCCCTAGTATATGGGATCAAGATCCATCAGATTAGGAATCTTGGATATATCTCTTGGTCTTTTGAGATATTTGCAAGATCTATAGGAAGTTTCCTATTTAATATGGATTCCTAATCTTATATATATAT